GGTCACTTAAGTTTGAATATTCTAAAAGCACTACATTTTTACTGCTCCCCTCAATGTTTTATGTATATGATGTCATATTTTATATCATTTTATTTTGTGCATCTCTTAAGTAATTTCTGTAGATATAATTGATTTTAGTACTTTTGTCTTTTAACCTTTATACCAGTTTTGTAAGTGATGAATTTATTATACAAATGCTTTAACCAGTGAATGTTTTTTTCATAACTTTCTTACTTCTAGTTATAGACTTTTCTTTTCCATTTAAAGAAGTCCCATTAACATTTCTTGTAAGACTGGTTTAGTGGTGATAAACTCCTTTAACTTTTGTTTGAAAGGAAAAGTATTTCTTTCAATTCTGAATGATAACCTTGTCAGGCAACATATTCTTGGTTGTAGCTGTTGTCCTTTCTACACTTTGAATTTATCGAGTCACTCCCTTCTGGCCTACAAAGTTTCTGCTGAAAAACCAGTTAATACCCATATGATGTTTCCCTTGTACATAAGTTGTTGCTTTTTTCTTGCTGCTTTTAAGATTATCTATCTTTAGTTTTTGCCATTTTAATTATTAGTTGTCTTGGTATGAAACTCCTTGGTTTCACCTTATTTGGGGCTCTCTGTGCTTCCTGGACCTGGATGTCTGCTTTATCACCCCAGGTTAGAGAAGTTTTCAGCTATTTCTTAAATCAGTTTTCCATTCCTTTCTCTCTTCTCCTTCTAGGATCCTATAATGTGTGTTAGTATGCTTGACGTTGTTCCAGAGGTTCTTTAACCTATCCTCATTATTTAAAATTCTTTTTAATTTTGTTCTTCAGCTTGGGTGCTTTCCACTACTCTGATTCCAGGTCACTGATCTGTTCTTTTGCACCTTCTAATCTTCTGTTGGTTCCCATTAGTGTATTTTTCATTTCAGTTACTGTATTCTTCAGCTCTGAACAGTTTTTTATATTTTCTATCTCTGTTGAAGTTCCCACTGAGTTCATCCACTCTTTTCTCAAGTCTGGTGCTTATGTTTATGGCCATTACTTTGAATTGTTTATCAGGTAGGTTGCTTATCTCTGTTTTATTTAGTTATTGTTCTGAGGTTTTATCTTGTTCTTTCATTTGAAATATATTCCTCTGTTTTCTCATTTTGTCCAACTCTTTGTGTCTGTTTCTATATATCAGATAGGTCAGTTACATCCCCTCATCCTAAAGTAGTGGCCTTATGTAGGAGGCATACTGTGAGACCCAGTAGCACAATCCCACCTGGTCACCAGAACCAGGTGTTCCAGGGGTGTCCCTGTCATGATTGGGCATGTGCCCTCCTGTCATGATTGGGCCATAACTGCTGTGGGCATGCTGGTGGCTGGGGATGTTAGCAATGACTGTCTGCAACTACTGCAGGCTCACTATTGGACAGGTCTGCTTAATATGGCTTACTGAGAGACCCGGTTGTAGCTGCTTTGACTGTGCTGATAGTAGGGCTGGTCTCCAGCCCAGCTGGCTGTAAGTGCTGCAGGACTCTGGTGAGCAGACCTGGCCCTTGGCATGCTGAAAGACCTGGCTGTAGCTGTGCCAACTTGCTGGTGGGTGTGCTTTGCTCCTGGTGCAGATGACTGAGAAGCTAGGCTGTAACTGCTGTAGGTGTGTTGGTGGGTGGGACTGGTTCCCCTACTCCCTGGGGCAGAAATTGCTTTGGAGAGGTGCTGGTTCCAGCTGGGGCTACCCATCAGGTGTAGCAGGGTGCTGGTTGCTTTGCAAGGATGCTAGTCTCAACCTAGGCTGCCTGCTGGATATGGTGGGGTGGGAGCTGCTTTGGAGGAGTGCCTGCTGGATCAAGAACGTTAAGTGGAGTGGGTCTCCAGGAGAACACCTGGAGGGCAGGGCAAGCAGTCCTAGCAAGGTAGATAGAGAGTGTCAGAACTGGCTCCAGCCAGCTAGTGAAGGAGGGCAAGAAAAATGGCACCTGCCAACACTTCCATTCCTGGAGAAAGTTCCTGTAGATCCCTGCCCCCCTGGCACATGCCCTAAAATCAGTCAATAAATCTCTTTCATGTATAACCCAGACACTTCACAAACTGCTGCTTCTGTACTGGGTCTTAGACTGAGTGATATATATAGCTCTCTTGCCCTTTAAGAGCAGAGTCTTATTTTCCTATAGCCCTCTGGCTATCATGGAGTTAAGACCTGCTGATTCTCAAAATCAGATGTTAAGGGGGTTCATCCTCCTTGTGCATGTCTCCAGGATGGGGGGTACCCGATGTGGTGCTTGATCCCTTTGCTCCTCTGGGAGGACCTCCACCTCTCTCTCTTCTGAGTTCCCATGCTGAGGGTGGAAGCTTGGTTTTTGACCATGTCATTGCTCCTCCTACCCTTCCTGATGTGGCCTTCTCTTTATGTCTTTAGCTATAGAAGATCTATTCTGCCAGTTTTCAGGTCATTTTCAGAGTGAGTTGCATGTCTATGGGAGGTGGTAAGCTCAGGATCCTCCTATTCCTCCATCTTCCCCCACTCTCCCCAGCAATAAAATATTTTAAATTTGAGTTATAAAGTGTATCCTCAAAAGCCAACTCTGATGGATCAAGTTTGCTAGAGATTTCACAAATTATAGTGTTATTAATAAAATATGCCTTCCCTGATGTTTAGCTAAAATTCCTTACTATGCCGATGATATTGATTAGAATAACACCACAAACAGAAAAAAAAGACTGACATATAAGTAAAAATAATTTAAATTATATATCATAGCCTTCATATTGAATTTTATTTGAAAACCATATAAAACAACTCTGCTTTCCCCATAATTACAATTTATGATCAGTGCTATTAATCAGGGCTATTAATATAAAAATGTGAGTCTTTCACTATTTATTTTTCAGATAGTGCATCATAGAAATCAAAACCGTTTCTCTTCCATATTTAGGTTCAACAATCAGATTTGAAAGGAATCCAAGATTTACCCATCAGAAGCAACTGGAATATCTAAACCTATAGCTCAACAATCTAACACTAGTTGCTGCTTTCAAAGATTGTAATACCAAGAGCTGAAGGTACCCTAATTTAAAGAACAACCTAAGATGTATAGCATAAACTATATATATGGCATAAACATAAAGATATATAGAAATTTACATAGTTAAATGGCTAATTTAGAAAGATTTAGAGTTTCAAAAGATGTCTGATTAAATTCTCCTTTATAGATCTAAATTTCCCACTCACCACACATTTAAAGATATTTTTCCTCTCCATGATTATTCTCTAATTCAAGATAATTAATTTATCTTTCTCAAAAAGATAAGTATCACTTTTTTGTAAGCATTCAAATAGGCAATGACTGCAAAACTCTTATGATTTGAACTTGTCCAAAATCTGTTAGCTTTCTCTTTTATGTTGCTACCAGTTAAATCTACCTCAGTTTGGGTCATAAGATTATAACTGCAAATCATCACCATCAATCATTTTTTTACCACCCAAAAGGCTATAAAAGGAGCCAAAACATTTCTTTCAACATTCCAATTATGAGGGGAAAAAATCCTATTCTGTCCATCTACACAAAAGCATAGGGCCAGATCTACTCAAACAATTGAAAGAAACAGGAAAAAAAAAACCTTATTAAGTAGAGGACATAAAATAAGTATATCAATACCTGAATAGGTAATTTTTTTAGTGGTAAAGAAACAGGAATAGCGTAACAGCTTCTTTCTGATCTTTAAATTTTTCAGTATCCTGAAATTTCTGCTACATTACTTATTTTTAAATGTTGGATAAAGTAACCAAAATCTAGATATGAAGAAGTCCTATTTAGTTTTAACCAGTATCTAAAATATAAATTCCCTCATCTCAAAAAATACTGGATATAATAAAAATTTCCACTGATGCTGAATCCTAAAATACAGTGGATATAATATGCATGAATACTATTCAGAATATTGAGAGTTAATGATTTAAGTAATATAGTATTCATATGAAAAGTAAAAGAAAAAGCTTCAAGTTGAAAAAAGAAGAATGTCCACATGGCTGCCATCCTTTTTTCTCATCACATCTACAAAAACAGGTTTATTTCATTATGCTCTGCTTATACAGTGATGATGCCTTATGAACTACTACTATTCAAAATTAAATGAACCCTATCTTGAGTATTATTCACCTATCAATGTGAAAAGTACAGGCTAATCTGTAAATTTATCTCAGAGGTTTCTTTTTCTTTCATTAAGATCAAAATTTCCTGTGTTAGTCCTTCCCATTCACTGCAAAGAGATGATTGTTTCTGAAATAATGAACAAATATCAGATTATGCTATAATTAAATTAAAGAGACATATAATAAATTAGGAATTTTACTTCATCTCAAGGCAGATTATCAGTTAAGTGGATATGTGTTATATTCTAGTCTAGTTGAATTCAACATTAGAAACATTAAAACTTGGTACGTTTGTTACAAATAAAATCTAATAACTTTTCACATATCTATTCATATAATTTTCTCTTTCTGATTATTAACATTTCACTCTAAAATTGGGAAATCTGAAGTCTGATCAAATTATCATCTTTGAAAACATTAATCTTGGATGTGTACTGTTCCTTAACAGTTCCAACATTTTTGGGTATCTAAAACTTTTGTCTCGGTACTTTTTTTAAACATAAGAAATATTTAAGCAAAAGTGAAAGTTTAGGAAGTAACTGCCATGATCAAAAGGTTTACAAGTACATTTAGTATTTACTTGACTTCTACATTTTAGGTCTGGATTTCAGCAGGCCGGTCTAGGGAAAAGAACACATCACTGCTTAAAGTGCTGGTTGATAGTAAGGAGAACAAGAATATCAGGGCTTACCCATTGAATGACTGAATCTATACCAATTATACGTTTTCTATGAAAATAAACTATTATAAAAGCAAACATAAGCATCAAATTATTTCTAGGTATTAAAGTTATAAAAAAGTTTTTCAAAAGTTAACTTGAAACTTGCCCAAGAAATGATTTTCTTATACATTAAGAAATTGTTTAACTCATATATTCTTACCGTTCTCGGTTAAATTTAAGAGAATGAAGAATAGCTGGCCTTTTTTGTCTAAGGTTCCACAGATGAAGTGTATCATCTGAACTTGCACTAACCAAAGCACCCTGGAACCAAAAGAAGACAGAGTGAGTGATATACCTAATTTAGGGTTTCATTGTGAAGCAAAATTGACAAGCCAATCTACTGGATTGTGCACTGCTTGAATAATTATTTATATGTACATAACCTGGAAATAAAAGGTAAGACAGCCTTCAATCAGGAAGGCTAAGAAAACTAAATGGAAGAAACAAGTGAACTACTGCATATGGATTGGTCAGAATAGATTGGTCAGGATAACTAGAACAAAGAGGATACATTTACCAATAGAAAGGATAACTATTGTTAAGTATCATTATGATTTTTTGTATTTTCTTTGGAAATAATTAAGTTTTAAATGTTTTGTTCCTACTATTTACACATGTACTTTATAGCTTTACAGAGAAGCAAATACCCAATCCAGTTTTTAAATTGCAATCTGGTCATATAAAAATTTACCACTTATAAGAATATTCTATATAGTTGGAAAGTATATATTCTTCCTAAAAAAGTGTATTTTGGATAATTTTATTTGTTTTTATTTTATAGTTCAAGAAGCTTCATTTATGTAAAAAGAAAACATCCATAATAAAATATTTCTCCAAGTAGCATTCACTGTAACTACAAAAATACTACTAAGATTCTCTTTATATAAAACCTCTAAATACAAATGAGTACTATTTCAAGTACAGTAGCATGTTTTCTCCCTCTTAATATAGCAGATACCATATAGGCAGGTACCTAGTTGTCACATATGACATTATGTATGTATGCTTAAACTATTTATTACACTCAGACAAGATCACCATTTTTAAATTATGTCAGAACTTCCAATCATTATGAGTTTTCCAGCTAAAAATGTCAATGCTTGCTCTACAACTGATCTTAGAGGTACTCTAGAGTATTGAATGAATTCTGTAAAAGTGATATTGCAGAATCATAGTGGTCCTGAGATATCTAGGTTTGTTTTTATATTTTCCAAAGCACTCTGTTACAAGCAACCTTTCATAGTTTACAACATCACAGATAAGAAAATTATTATCCCATTTAGATGCTAGGAGGGACTAAATTAAAATTACTAGAATTTATTTCTTCTTTAGGAATTAAGAGAAGAAGATATTCTAAATTCCTTTCTATAACAATTCCTAAGACAAAAATGCTCCTATGATGGTTCTTTTCATATTATGTATATATAATTTTAGTCTCAAAGAATACCTTTTGAAAAACCAATCATAATAAGAGATTACATTTGTTAAAAATGCCTTAAATGTGTATAATTTGCTCATTTTACATAAACATATTTATATAAACATAAATGTTCAAAGAGGTATACTTTGATATATGCATTTTAACATTAACTCATATATAATTACATTCCATGCAATAAATTAACCCTATATATGCCTTGAGGATTTTTGTGTTTGCTTGTTTTATTTGTAAACTGTTTCCATATTTTTCACATATACAAACTGGAAAATTATTAGGATTGCTTAGAAGGGCTTGATAAGCTAAATAATTTTTCTTTGAGATATAAGATACTGATCTTATTTCTCAGAAAAGTAGAAATTCACTTGGGATAGGGTGAGGATAGAACATGATATATGAAATTAATAAAACATTCTTTACAGTAAATAGTTACATGCTATACAAAATGTATAACATGCCAAATGCAATGGAATTAAAATAAAGCACCATATGTTTAATAGTATCTTAGTGTAATAGCTTAATAAATCTAGGGAAAAAGTCAGTAAATTATTTCTATGATAAAACTAGGAGGTGACTTATCATTGGAGGGAAATAAACAAGACCACTGAGCCTAACTGCACTGATAGAGATATAAAAGTAAGCCATACCACCAGGCTGTCTAGAGCTCATTTACAAAAGCAAAGTGAAACTGTAAGAAGCACTAATGAAGATCTGTGAAAAGATTAAAAAGTGTGAATAAAATATACCAGTCATGAGGTCAGAAACTTGGAAATTTGTAACAAGGTACAGAAACTGAGTGGAGTTGGATCAAGGTAAATAGTTCAAGTAAGACAGTGTAAACACTGAAAGGATGTTGAAGGCGTGTTTTTATTTATTCTTAGCACAGAGGCGAACTTAGGAACTTGAAAACAATTCTCAGGATTGGACTCAGAGAAAATGACCTGGAAATAATTTATGTCTGTCAGTACACATCCATGCAGAGGCAAAAGCCTGAGATTTCTCAACTAGGAACTAAAGAGTAACATTGAGGCTTCAAAAGGTTGTCATTCTAGATACTAATAACTAGTTATTACAATAAAATATATTTTAAAAATATTTTCCATTTTCATCCTTATCTCCCTCTGCTATTTGGTACTCCACAGGAAGTATGTCTACAAGATGATAATACGGGAGGTTTGTCAACAAGGATAATCTCACAATCTCATGAGAAAGATTTTGAGCCAAGAGAAGTAAAAAGTGAACATGTGCCAACATCACAAATGTTTTATGCCTCAAGTATCTCTGATACAAAGTTCTAGGAAGCATTTTACCCATGTTCTTAAATTCTCAGAGATATATACACAAATATATGAAGATACTGAATAAACGATCATCATTCATGCCATAAGAAAACAACTAGGGGTAACTCTTTTTTTTCCTCAAAGCACTGAGTTTAATCTGGAGGTCCTGAACTGGATATGGTAAAAACACTTAAAGCACTTTTGTCCTGACTAGCTCACTTAACATAAAAGAGCTCTAGAAGATTCAAGGATTCTCTGTAAAAAACAGGAGTCAAGAAGGCCTTAAGCAGCCTTTAACTGATGGAAGACATAGAACCTTTCTGAGCTTAATAAATACACACTTTATCTTTAGAGAGTTCCTCATCACCACAGGTCTATAAAAATAGGGATAGGTAGGAAGCCAATTGTCATAATAACTATGGATACACAAATAAATACAAATGTATACATATGGAGATATATACAGATAACAGAGCACATAAGTAAATAACAAAAAAGATTATTTCATGGAAGATAAAGACAAACCATGAAGTTAGTGTTGGATTATAAAATTTAAATTGGTGTATAGATGAAAAGTTTAATGGTCAGCAAAGCAATCAAAGGATTTTAGTAATTTTTAAAATTTTAAATCACTAAACATTTAAATATTAAGTAATTAATCTATAAATTATGCTACACAATCACAATAACAGGATCTTCTGGTGCATACAAACTCTTTCCTTTAAAATTTAATAAACTGACAAATACAGTAGAGTCTTTTATGAGAAATGGAAAATGTGACCATGAGTAATATTGAATACATATATATATATATATCTTTAAGCATTTAGAAACATAACATAAAAAATACTACCTAAACTAATACAGTTTGTGTGTGTGTGTGTTTGTGCGTGTTAGATAGTCAAGAAATCCTTACCTCATTGATCAAGAATTGAAGCTGCAGGACAGCCGCACCACTTTCATGTTGGCAATAACAATCAACACCAGGTCTTCCAAGTCTAATATAATCCAAGTCAAGGATTCTAACATTATAATTAGCATCAATATTAATGAGTAAAGAATAAACTAAATTACTTAGCAACTGATGTTATGCTTTTTAGTTATCCTTATTTTTGTAAATAATTGAAAAACAGTCTTAGTTGATGCAAATCATTTTATACAGCACAAGACATTAGGAAAACACCAAATAAGACTTCCCTCACATGTATCCCCTCCTCAAAAACAATCATTTGGCATCCATGCACAGACAAAAGTACCTTCATGGGAGCTCAGGATCCAAGTAGGAGACTGTGATACCCTACTACAGCCGAAGAATGAAGAGAGCCATTTTGAGAAGGCAGTTTCACACCCAGGTTGCACCCTGGTGGACTGTGGCATCAGCTACAGAAAGAAAAAGAGCTCTGTACCCATGATAACTCAGATATAGACCATTTGCTTTTGGGTCTCACCAGCATATGTCATATGTCAACGGACCGAGAGGAGTCACACCCACCCATGGGTTAGTAATACACATAAAAACCTCAGTTCTTTCTGTGGACCTGGAAGTGGCCTTTGAACAAGCTCCAGACCTTCTGGGCTGCAGTGCAGGAGCTCTTGAAGGTAAATCATCAAATTCAGTCAGACTATAGATTTTGAAATGGCCCTGTAACTGGGCTCCAGCCTATCTAGCCACAGTCCAGAAACAATCTTGCTGGTACAGAAACCACTTAAAAGACACTCTAATCTGCAACCCTGGAGATCCTGAAAAGGCCCTATATTCAGCTCAAGGCCCCTCACAGCCAGTCTAACATCATTTCTGCTGGCTTAGAGAACAGGCAGGACACACTCCTTTGAGCATCTGAAGATCCTGGAAGGGTCCTATATGTGGCTACACCTTCCTCACAGCTACAATCTGCCAGTACTACTGACGGTCCAGTCCCAGGAGGAGACACTCCTATGTGTGCCTCAGGAGATCCTGAAAGGGCTCTATACTCTACTCTAGGTCCCTTCCACTTGCAGTCCATAAGCAGGCCTTCTGGAATGGAGACCAGGGAGGAGACACACCTTTATGTGACTCCAGAGATCCTGGGGTCCTATTATACATGGCTCCAGCCTCCTCACACCCATGGTCATCCAGCAGTTCTGAGGGTCTAGGATCTCATTGGGAAACCTGCCTGGCTGCAACTCTGGAGTCTCTGAAAGGAACTATATTTAATTACAGCCCCTCCTATCCACAGTCTGTGAACAATCCTGCTACCACAGGGACCTAGAAAGAAACACTCTTACCTGTACCCCAGGAGACCATATAAGGGCCCTATATTTGACACCAGCCCCTCTAGCCATGGTCAAGGACCAATCTAGAAGATCGAGTGACTGAAGGGAGACACACCCAGCAGTCTACAGAGCCAGGTCTGTGAACTTCAATCTTAGCTATGGAAACTGAAACAGTCCTGAGGCTCATTTCCAGCCCCTCTCAGCCACAGTCTCAGGTCAGTCCTGCACACCCAAGGACATACCTCTTTCCTTTAAAATTTAATAAACTGACAAATACAGTAGAGTCTTTTATGAGAAATGGAAAATGCGACTATGAATAATATTGCATACATGTATATATTTTTAAGTATTTAGAAACATTACATAAAAAATATTACCTCAACTAATATAGTTTGTGTGTGTGTGTATGTGTGTGTGTGTGTGTGTATGTGTGTGTGTGTGTGTGTGTGTGTGTGTGTGTATTGTGTGTGTGAGATAGATAGTCAAGAAATCCTTACCTCATTGATCAAAAATTGGAGCTGCAGGACAGCCGCACCTGGACATCCAATGACCAGGCAGCAGTCCTCCCAGGGATCTGGTGAGGGCCACATCTGTCATTTATCTGGTTATAGGCCTCCTGTCTAAGGACTCATATGAGAAGAATAAATAGACCTTTGTCCCAGAGTCACCCTACTGAACAAGGGGCTAGAGGCAGTTGCTCCCACCCAGGGATCAGAAGAGATCCAAACCAGTATAAGACCTGGTAACAAGCCCACCACAGACTCCACAGCAGATCCAGTAACAGCCTCACAACTGGTTACAACTTAGCACAACTGAAATTCTGGAGGTAATCCTACCAGCCCAGGGAGCAGAGAGGGGATGGTCTTTATTTTCTGAAATTATTCTGTAAATAGTCAAAGAGGTGTTTCTCCTATAAGTGCACAAACACCAATGCAACGTTAAATCAGGTAAATATGATGCCACAAAAGGAAACTAAAGAGCTCTGGTAACTAACCTCAAAAGAATGGAGATCTTTGAGTTGCCTGAAAAAGAATTCAAAATAATCACCTTAAAGAAATTGAATGAGAGGGCAGAGCAAAAGATGGTGGCATGAGTAGGACAGTGGGGATCTCCTCCCAAAAACATAAACATTTTTGAAAATACAGCAAATACAACTATCCCTAAAAGAAAGATCAGAAGACACAGGACAACAGCCAGAATACACCCACACCTGTGAGAACCCAGTGCCTGGTGAACGGGGTAAGATACTAGCTGCAGCCTGGTGGGACCCGAGGCCCCTCACCCCAGCTCCCAGTGGGAGGAGAGGACTTGGAGTGGGGAGGGAGAGGGAACCCAGGCCTGCTAAACACCCAGCCCTAGCCATCCGCACCAGAGTGCAGACACACAGTACATGCATGGGGTGCTGGAAACTAGGGAAGCAGGACACTAAGACCTGTGGGCGGGTCCCGCAGCCAGCACCTCTGGGACAAAGAAAAGAGAGTGCTTTTTGAAAGTCTTAAAGGGACAGGGACCCCACAACTGGACGGAAGCGTCCTGGGTCACAGTACAGCAGCTGGAAATTCCAGGGAACTCTGGGCGCACTAAACCCCTGGGCAACAGCTCCGAGACCCCTCACAGAGGTAAAAATCCAAACAGCCCCCCGTCCATTACCCCTCCAGAGCCCCATCATAGCAGAGCAGCAGCATGAGGCTGGCCATGCACACAGCAAGGGAGCTTCCTCCAGAGCAGCCGGGCAAGATACAGAGACCCAGTCTACATGCAATTGCCCAACATGAGCCACTAAGGGTCACAGTTGTTCCAGTAAAGAAAGGCCAGGAGCAAGTGTAAAAAGGCTAGGCCCTCCCAGCTGACAGACACATCAAAAGCATACCACTGCACCTATCAACATGAAAAGGCAAAAAAAAATTTGATCCAGACAAGACTAACCCAGACAGCTTCGACATCTTCTACCTCTTCCCATGAGAAGGAGCCTGAGGAGATAGATTTAACCAGTCTTCCTGAAAAAGAGTTCAAAACAAAACTCATAACCATGCTGATGGACTTGCAGAGAAATATGTAAGAACTAAGGATGGAGAATACAGAAATAAAACAATCTCTGAAAGGACTTCAAAACAGAATGGACGAGATTCAAGAGACCATGAATGGACTAGAAAACAGAGAACAGGAATGCAGAGAAGCTGATGCAGAGAGATATAAAAGGATCTCCAGGAATGAAACAATACTAAGAGAACTGTGTGACCAATCCAAATGGAACAATATTCACATCATAGGAGTACCAGAAGAAGAAGAAAAAGAAAAAGGGATAGAAAGTGTCTTTGAAGAAATAATTGCTGAAAACTTCCCCAAACTAGGGGAGGAAATGGCCTCTCAGACCACAGAAACACACAGAACTCCCATGAAAAGGGACCCAAGGAGGGCAACACCAAGACACATAATAATTAAAATGGCAAAGATCAAAGACAAGGACAGAGTATTAAAGGCAGCCAGAGAGGGAAAAAAGGTCACCTACAAAGGAAAACCATCAGGGTATCATCAGACTTCTCAAGAGAAACCTTACAGGCCAGAAGAGAATGGCATGACATACTTAATGCACTGAAACAGAAGGGCCTCGAACCAAGAATACTGTATCAAGCACGATTATCATTTAAATATGAAGGAGGGATTAAACAAAACCCAGACAAGCAAAAGTTGAGGGAATTTGCCTCCCACAAACCACCTCTACAGGGCATCTTACAGGAACTACTCTAGATGGGAGCACTCCTAAAAAGAGCACAGAAAAAAACACCCAACATATGAAGAATGGAGGAGGAGGACTAAGAAGGGAGAGAAATAAAGAATGACCAGACCATGTTGATAATAGCTTAATAAACGAGTTAAGTTAGACAGTAAGATAGTAAAGAAGCTAACCTTGAACATTTGGTAACCACAAACTTGAAGCCTGCAATGGCAATAAGTACTTACCTTTCAATAATCACCCTAAATGTAAATGGACTGAATGCACCAATCAAAAGACACAGAGTAATAGAGTGGATAAAAAAGAAAGACCCATCCATATGCTGCTTAGAAGAGATTCACCTAAAACCCAAAGACATGCACAGACTTAAAGTCAAGGGATGGAAAAAGATATTTCATATAAACAACAGAGAGAAAAAAGCAGGAGTTGCAATACTAGTATGAGACAAAATAGACTTCAAAATAAAGAAAGTAACAAGAGATAAAGAAGGACATTACATAATGATAAAGGGCTCAGTCCAACAAGAGGATATAACCATTATAAATATATATGCACACAATACAGGAGCACCAACATATGTGAAACAAATACTAACAGAACTAAAGGAGGAAATAGACTGCAATGCATTCATTTTCAGAGACTTCAACACACCACTCACTCCAAAGGACAGACCCACCAGACAGAAAATAAGTAAGGACACACAGGCACTGAACAACACACTAGAACAAATGGACCTAATAGACATCTTTAGAACTCTACATCCAAAAGCAACAGGATACACATGCTTCTCAAGTGCACATGGAACATTCTCCAGAATAGACCATATACAAGGCCACAAAAACAGCCTCAGTAAATTCCAAAAGACTGAAATCCTGCCAACCAACTTTTCAGACCACAAAGGCATAAAACTAGAAATAAATTGTACAAAGAAAGG